GTTAACACTCCTAGCGCGACACGGTGTCCGCGGTAAATAATATTCGCGACCGTCGAGAGCGGAGTTGGAATGCATAAAACCTTGGGTTCGCGCTTTGCAAGGGGCGGGGCGGGGTGGGGCGGGCGTCAGCGTGAGGGGAGCAGGGTGTAGTGCTAACGTAACACTGTTGCCGCCGGTGTACCGCTGCTCACCCCGTGATGACCCCGCCACGCTACGCCTGGCCACGCAAAAGGGGAGGAGGAGGCCCGAGGGGGGGGGGGGTGAAGCTTGATGAATAAGTCAGGAGTCATTGCTGCTCGAGGGACGAAACATGGGACGGACAGGGCTACCGGCGCCGTCGTAGGAGGCGTGGGGACTGGGAGGGGAGGGCGGGGGAATGGGAATGGGGGGGGGGGCGCCAGCTCGTGAAGGCCGCGCTGCATGTAAGCCCCCGGGCCGGCCCGGGCCGCGGGCGCACCTGACCAGCGGTAGCGGTCACTCAGCGCCCTCTGCGCCCAACCCCCGAGACCGGGGCCGCTGCCCTGCGGCACGACCCCCTCAGGGGTGGTCCGGGGCTCCGCCGCCGGACTGACCCCGATTGTCACATGACCGGCCGCCGTCGCCTACCTGCCCTTACGCCCTTGCACCGCCCCCTGCCCCAGTTCGGTCTGGAGAGAGAGGGCGGCGGGGGCGGCGAGGGCGCCAGCCGAGTGTTGTGTTCAAGAAACAAACAGCCGCGATGCCGTCGCCCCCCCCCCCCCCCCTTGCTGACGAGGCGTTGGGGCCGTGTTGTGACGCGGGGACGCGGGGCAGCGGCTCTGAAGGAATGGCGGATGTCCAAAGTGGCCCCGCCCGGCCCCGCCGGCCCGCGGCCCCCATCGATTTGGAGGGCCGGGGTGGAGCGGGGTGTGACTGACGGATTGCCACCACCCGATGGCCAACCCACCCGATAATACGTCTTACTTTTTGATGCCGCACTCCGCGCGCCCCACATTTGCACCACGACGTCGTCGAGGGCGTGGCCCCAATCAGGGATCGTCCGGAAAGCACGCCCGTTCCCACTCTGATTCAGTAGGGCAAACTCTACGGGAGCTCGGCGCCTGCGAGATCTAGGGTAGGCCACCCCGCAGTACGCGCGTGCATTGAAGGCGAGATGTTGCCTACCTACCAGGCGCTATGAGAGCGTGCACAGGCTGAACCTGACGCGCAGTTTCGTGGCTCGGCGAATGATGGACGAACTTTCTGCTTTCCGGATAATCACTTCATATGGTGCCTTTTAGGACCAACACCTCTGCTCACAGCGTGGCGTGCGTGGGAGTCAAGGTCACCCCGCTCTGCACAGCGGCGGTGCTTCGCGATGCACCGCGGATCAGGAATCACTCCTTCCCGGTACTGCCGCCGCTCTCGGCGCTCGCCTCCGATAAGACGCCACATCCTGCGCCTTGTGCTCATCTGTTGGCGCCACCTTTCATTTTGTGCGTCATCGTCCTGTTTTAAAGAAACTTGTTTTCGTTTGCCTCGATCGTGTTAAAGGCGAGGGCGCAGACAGGATGTAATGGACCCGGCATCGGGTGGAGGCACGTGACGAAGACAACGATATGATCAGGTGCGCTGTCCGTGGCGAGGGATACCTACAACGCTTTTCCCTGTCAATGTCCAGGGGTGCAGAACTCTTCGTTAGTCAAATTATAGTCAGTTTTTCAATCACACAAATCAATTTCCCCCAATCACATCCCGTCATTTTCCAGGGTGCTCCAAGTTTCGCAGTGGTGTACCCGTCGGTCCCTGGACATCTTCCCCGCTCCCCCGTTCTCGGCTACAGAACCTCAGAGGCCTCTCGGCCCCGACTCCCCGCTCCAACCCCTCGCCCCCCGCCTCTCAATGTGATGTGCGTTCATTCGATTCTCGCGCTGCGCCCGCTGCGCCCCGCAGCCTCCCAGCCCACTGTTCCCCTCCCCCCCCCGCCCCCCCTCAGCCGCTGTGACAACAGCATCCTGATCTCATCATCTCCTTTTTGAGGTCCAGCGAAGCGCGCGGGGGCCGGAAGGAGTGGTGAAGGGGGACAGGACAGGCGGGGACGACAGAGGCTGGGGCGGGGACGGAAACCAGGCTATGAATTGCCCACGCCTTTGACACGGTCGCCCGCCACCCACAAAGACAGCAACACCATCAGAGCGTTTACGCGATGAGATGAGATGTTTCTTTTTACAATTCCCGTTTATTTTTATTTTTTGCAATGTTCTGTGCTGTGCTCATCTCCCTGGGACCAGCCACTGGCTCCGACAAAGGGAGCAACACAAAATCACGCCCACCCCAGCCACCCCACACCCCTGCCACGCTACGCAGCGCCCTTCTGTGGCCATGCAATATGCAGTGCAATGGCTGGGTTCGGCCAACGGCCCGGAGTCACGCGAGCCAGCGAGCCCACCCCGCTCGCGGGAGCAGCGCCGCGGGCCGCCCGAGAGGGTGTTGGCGCACAACGCTCTCCTTCACCCCCTCCCGCCCTTTCCCTTCTCACCCTCTTGAGTGCGAATCGCCTGTAAACGGCGCCTAGCTGCACGCCGCCGCCAGGAGGGTGCCAGGCGGACGTGGACTCCGGCGCGGCGGCCGCCCCCGCCCCCC